TGTAATGGCGCAGCTCTATTCTGGAAAAGGGGGCGGGGAGCAGCAGCTCATTTGCATTTAAAGAGACAGACCCGAAAAACAGCGTGTTTCTGCTTCCATTCAAAATAGGCATTTTCAAAATGTTATAATAAATCAGTGTTTCTCAACCCTGGTCCTGGGCGCCCCCCAACACTGCACATTTTTTATGTCTCCCTTATCTGACACACCCATTTCAGGTCCTGGAGTTTCTTCTAATGAGCTCATGAGTTGAATCAGGTGTGTTTGATTAGGGAGACACACAAAATGTGCAGTGCTGGGGGGCGCCCAAGGACCAGGGTTGAGAAACATTCTGGGGACACCAGAGACTTATATTACATATTGTAAAAAGGGGCATAATATGTCTCCTTTAAATTGTGGAGAAGTACAAAAAGCAAAGAGCACAAGTTATTTGGATGCCACTGCCGGCAAAAAAAACAATGATCATTGCTGCAAAATTTAAACAGTTTACTACCTTGTTTTACATGTACAGAAAGTCACTTATTCATTACAGAATTACAGTCAAATAGACAATTATTTTAAGTCAACATTAAGTTTGGCACATTTACAACAGCAATCTAATCAAAATATTTCACATTTGTCTTGCAGAATATTTGCTGTATCATGAACACATTTACAGATGTGCAAAACAACAACAGAGCAACAAGTTATTGTTGTGACAGAAGTCCAAAGTCTATGTTCTCTGAAACTACAATTAGGGCTGCAAGTACAGCTGTGCTTTTTAAAAAAATTATTAATAAACCTTAGGCAGTCAACAGACTTTGCACCTACAAGTAATAGATTAAGAATGTGTTGAGGTCAGTTTTTCAAGGCTTAAAAATGATGCAACGAAGCACCATTTGTAATGCAACATGATTTATATATTCATAAAATCATGTATACAGTTATCTACAAATAATAACTCCCTTCTTGTTTTGGTTAAGAGAATATGAATGCAGGATGCATATGGAGGGATAAGTCTTCACTAGTCAGTTAATGCCCTGGTGGCATTATTAGTGACAGTCGCTGCCAAGTAATGATTATGTATTGATGTCACAGACGGTGATGCTGACTTCACAGCATGCTCTCTATTAGGGGGATAAGCGTTGGTATATCCAGCCTCCCTCAGCTTGATGCTGCATATCCCCCAGCTCAGTCTCTCCCTCTTTTGGCCGCAAAAAGACTATTCGGTCATGTAATCTATTAGTCTGACCCTGCCAGAACTCAATCAGGTGGGGTTTTACAATGTATCCACCCCTGCAGAAAAAATATATATCCATAAAAATAAACGAAACTAAAATATAACTGTCTAAATACAAACACAGGCAGGGATTTAATATTAATAAACAAAGATTACTCACCAGTAATCTGGCAATGGTACATTTGTGTCCTTATACTTTTCCTCAAGCTCTGCATTCTTGTCTCTCAGGTACTTTAAGGGGTACACACAACAATTTATCAATAAAACAGGTCTTCAGGTGCCCCAAACCAGGAAAATAATTAGGACTAATAGTGTATAATTATCATTATGAATGTTTAGTTGAATGCTAAAGCAGATGGTGGCTGTGTTAACGGCATATTATTCATATACTATTATAGCTTTTATGAATAATTTGAGTTAGCTTTTATTTTTATATTTTCAGTTCTTATTTTAATAATAGTTAAATTGGGATGGTGGTGATAGTGCTACTCACTTGTCGGCTCGGTATTACTGTGCTCTGCCTGCTAACAACAGCACCGATCTGACTGCTCTTGGGTCTTGAGTGGAAATAATCACATGAAATCTCGTACGGGATTCTCTCTACAGTGCCTTCAATGCGAATCTGTTAGGATACAAAACAAAAAAATACAGTGTGGTCAAAAACTACAAACAAAATGTGTTACATTCTTTGTCATTTAAACTTTGAAATATGGATACGATTAAAACCAAAACCAAAGTGAAATATTCTATGATCTGATATACAAAGAATTAGCTGGAGAAGATTCTGAGTTCTAAAAAAAAAAACACACACAACTCTTACCTGTCTGTTTAATGGTTCCCAGTAAAATACAAGACAGGCGTGGGGATTACAGTCCTATATGATTGCAAAAACAAAAAATAAATAAAATAAAACGCGAGAAAGACAAAGATGCAAAGGTAAACCCATATGGACATTTACTGAACAAAATTTGGTTTTAAAGACTCACCAACTCTGCACCTTTCCGACTCTCATAGTTGGTAAAGAAGCGAAATCCCTCCTCGCTGTAGCCTTTTAGAAGAACCATGCGTGCAGAGGGGCGACCGTCCCTTTAGAGAAGACAAGAAGGGTCAATTTTGACCAAATTTCAAAAGCGTATTAAGTATGTATATGCATTGTATTTAAGTTGCTCTGTTTATTTCCAGGTATTGATGAACCACACAACATCCATTCTTACTTGGTCGCTGTTGCAAGACACATTGCATTGGCTTCTCCCACCTCAGGGCACTTAGTGGCTTGATCAAACCAGCTGCCGAATTGTTTAATTGGATCTAAAGAAGTAAGCTGATCCTCCTCAAAACACTGTAGGATGAAAATGAGGGATAGCACATGCACACATTTATCTTATGTTCTTTTAAAATTTCACGGCTTACTGCTGTGACATATATGGCAAAGTAGGTTTAAAGGCCCCATATCTGTACTAGTAGTGTCCTTTACTGTGTTGTTACTGCATTTAGCCAATAAGATCTTTAAAGAGATATATACCAAATTTGCTATTACTGTAACACTAACCCATACATAACTGGCATAAAAGCATTTTTAATGGTCAAAGGCTCTCTCATAATTGTGTTGACTCTTTTCATATCATCTTAATTAGTAAGTGATTGATGGAGGTCCTCCTTTCAAGGTCAACTGATGCATGCATTATTATTCTTTTTTTTTGAAAATGCATTTGATAAACACGCAAGTCAGTTGCAGATCATAAAGAAAATGCCCATTATTTCAGAATCACATTGATAAGGTTTTATACATTAATACAGAAAATGACGACTCTTCATATCTAGCTTTTTGATGTAAAAATCATGATATGATACTCTGCATAATATGTCTTTTGAAAAGGGTCTCAGGTCATGGTCATACATACACCTGACATAAAATCCCTCACAACCAAAAACGCGTCTCACCTCCTGATCGCTCTTATAGCTCTTTCTCATGTTACTCAGATCCATGTTGGTGCCGCTGTCTGTAAATTTCCTGCAGAAAAACGAGGTAAATGACGAAGTACTGCGGATTGTCAAGGTAACACTGGACTCAATAAACTTCACAATATTGCCGATATTCCTGGACGTGAAGAAGCGCGATAGATATCTCATGCCTGCAACTCCAAACCTGCGTCATCACGTTCGTGCTCTTACGTAAAATGTTATGAAAACGTAGTCGGTTTTGTAACTAACCTCTAATTTTGGAATGAACAAAATATAAAAAATGAATACTTTAGTAAATTAATCAATAGCTTTATATTCAATAATTATTATTATTTTTAATTACCTTAATATGAACGACAACATTTAAAAATGTAATTTTAATTTTTTACAACTTTCAAAATTAAAACAAGCCCGCACCCCCCCCCCCAAAAAAAATGTGTATTTTTTTTTTAACTTTTAAT